GGGGTGAGGCCTGGGGGGTCCGGCGGGCGGGTGGAAGGCGGCTCTGGGGTGAGGCCTGGGGGGTCCGGCAGGCGGGCAGGAGGTGGCTCTGGGGTGAGGTCTGGGGGGTTGGGCGGGCGGGAGGCAGCTCTGGGGTGAGGCCTGGGGGGGGGGGGCTGGGGGGCGGGGGGGAGGGGCGCTGGGGGGAGGCCTGGGGGGTCCGGCGGGGGGGTGGGCGGGAGGCGGCTCTGGGGGAAGGCCTGGGGGAGTCCGGCGGGCAGGCGGGAGGTGGCTCTGGGGTAGGGTTACCATACATCCAGATTTTCCCGGACATGTCTGACTTTTTGGTCCTCAAATCCCCATCCGGGAGGAATTTCCAAAAAGCCGGATATGTCCGGGAAAATAGGGAGGCATGGTAAGGGGACCGCCTTCTCCCCGGGCTCCAACTTTCCCGGCTCCCGCCACTCTCCACCACAGCGGGGGCCGAAGCAACTTCCCCAGTGCAGCAGCAGCCAGGGGGTGGGAGGGAGGAGGGGGAATGCGGGGTGCTCAGGGGAGGGGGTGGAGTTGGGGGCGGGGACTTTGGGGAAGGGGCGGAGTTGGGGCGGGGCCGGGGCGGCGAAGGTGTGGAGTTGGGGCGGGGCCAGGGGCGGAGTTGGGGCGGGGCCAGGGCCCCGTGGAGTGTCCTTGTTTTGCAGTATTGAAATATGGTAACCCTAGCTCTACATGCTCTAAAATCCACATGCTGACTTGGATTGGCTTGAAATTTGTTATGCCTCATGGTAGGGGCAGATTAAGATCCACATTTGGGTTTATTTGAACAAAAGGTTCCTGTGTTATATCCCCTCCAAAACCAGCATTTTACAAAATCATCTTGTTCTTCTACCATTTTTTGTGCACCCCTGGGGCTCAAACAAGGGCTCAGCGCTTCCCCAAATTGATCTTGGTCACAAGGATTTCTCTCTGCCTGGACATGACACCCACTGCCCCTTTGGGGAAGCGATAGAGAAAGTCAGTAAGTGTAAAATTTGTACCCTGAGGTGCCAAACTGCTGCACCTACAAGTGGAATGCGCCTGTGGGCACTGAATTGAGAGGCACCCACGCGTGTTTGAGCCCTGGCCTTGGCAGCTCTCAGGGAACGGGTGTGGGGCACCTTGCTCTCTGCCTGCACTCTGCAGGGGGCCTGGGAGGAGCCTGGTCCCGAGATGAAAATGTCTGGTTTAAGAGTGCAGAGTGCGCTGCAATTCCCCTGCAGACTCTGCTATAACTTCAGCAGTAGTGTCAAGGAAATTAGCACTGATTAATAGAAGGAAGACGAACGACTCTAGTAAGCAGTTAGGGTAAAGAAATCATTTTTCCTGAATATTGGGATTGGTTTGTGATGCACTGCCCCCTACATGAGCTGCTCAGAACAAGTTCCAATTCTTATCACACTATTTCATAGAATCATAGAATATTAGGGTTGGAAGAGACCTCAGGAGGTCATCTAGTCCAATCTCCTGCTCAAAGCAGGACCAACACCAACTAAAACATCCCAGCCAGGGCTTTGTCAAGCCGGGCCTTAAAAACCTCTAAGGATGGAGATTCCACCACCTCCCTAGGTAACCCATTCCAGTGCTTCACCACCCTAATATCCAACCTAGACCTCCCGTACTGCAACTTGAGACCATTGCTTCTTGTTCTGTCATCTGCCACCACTGAGAACAGCCGAGCTCCATCCTCTTTGGAACGCCCCTTCAGGTAGTTGAAGGCTGCTATCAAATCCCCCCTCACTCTTCTCTTCTGCAGACTAAATAACCCCAGTTCCCTCAGCCTCTCCTCGTAAGTCATGTGCCCCAGCCCCCTAATAATGTCCGTTGCCCTCCGCTAGACTCTCTCCAATTTGTCCACATCCCTTCTGTAGTGGGGGGGACCAAAACTGGACGCAATACTCCAGGCATGGCCTAACCAGTGCCGAATAGAAGGGAATAATCACTTCCCTCGATCTGTTGGCAATGCTCCTACTAATACAGCCCAATATGCCGTAGGCCTTCTTGGGAACAAGGGCACACTGCTGACTCATATCCAGCTTCTCGTCCACTGTAATCCCCAGATCCTTTTCTGCAGAACTGCTGCTTAGCCAATCGGTCCCCAGCCTGTAGCGGTGCATGGTATTCTTCCTTCCTAAGTGCAGGACTCTGCACTTGTCCTTGTTGAACCTCATCAGGTTTCTTTTGGCCCAATCCTCCAATTTGTCTAGGTCACTCTGGACCCTATACCTACCCTCCATCATATCTACCTCTCCCCCCCAGCTTAGTGTCATCTGCGAACTTGCTGAGGGTGCAATCCATCCCATCATCCAGATCATTAATAAAGATGTTGAACAAAATTGGCCCCAGGACCGACCTCTGGGGTACTCCGCTTGATACCGTCTGCCAACTAGACATCGAGCCGTTGACCACTACCTGTTGAGCCCGACAATCTAGCCAACTTTCTATCCACTTTATAGTCCATTCATCCAATCCATACGTCTTTAACTTGCTGGCAAGAATACTGTGGGAGACTGTATCAAAAGCTTTGCTAAAGTCAAGATATATCACATCCCCATATCCACAGAGCCAGTTATCTCATCATAGAAGGCAATCAGGTTGGTCAGGCATGACTTGCCCTTGCTGAATCCATGTTGACTGTTCCTGATCACCTTCCTCTCCTCCAAGTGCTTCAAAATGGATTCCTTGGGGACCTGCTCCATGATTTTGCCGGGGACTGAAGTGAGGCTGATCGGTATGTAGTTCCCCGGGTTCTCTTTCTTCCCTTTTTAAAATATGGGCACTATATTTGCCTTTTTCCAATTGTCCAGGACCTCCCCCGATCGCCACGAATTTTCAAAGATAATGGCCAATGGCTCTGCAATCACATCAGCCAACTCCCTCAGCACCCTTGGATGCATTATATCTGGACCCATGGACTTGTGCATGTCCAGCTTTTCTAAATAATCCTTAACCTGTTCTTTCACCACGGAGGGCTGCTCACCTCCTCCCCATACTGTGTTGCCCTGTGCAGCAGTCTGGGAGCTGACCTTGTCTGTGAAGACCAAGGCAAAAAAAGCATTGAGTACTTCAGCTTTTTCCACATTATGTGTCACTAGGTTGCCTCCCCCATTCAGTAAGGGTCCCACACTTTCCCTGACCTTCTTCTTGTTGCTAACATACCTGTAGAAACTCTTCTTGTTACCCTTCACATCTCTTGCTAGCTGCAACTCCATTGTGCCTTGTCCTTCCTGATTACACCCCTGCATGCTCTAGCAATATTTTTATACTCCTCCCTAGTCATCTGTCCAAATTTCCACTTCTTGTAACCTTCCATTTTGAGTTTAAGCTCACCAAAGATTTCACTGTTAAGCAAAGCTGGTCGCCTGCCATATTTGCTGTTCTTTCTGCACATCGGGATTTATTCCTGCACCCTCAATAAGGCTTCTTTAAAATACAGCCAGCTCTTCTGGACTCCTTTCCCCCCTCATATTAGCCTCCCAGGGGATTCTGCCCATCAGTTCCCTAAGGGAGTCTAAGACTGCTTTTCTGAAGTCCAGGGTCCGTATTTTGCTAATCTCCTTTCTTCCTTTTGTCAGGATCCTGAACTCAAGCATCTCATGGTCACTGCTGCCTAGGTTGCCACCCACTTCTACTTCCCCTAACAATTCTTCCCTGTTTGTGAGCAGCAGGTCAAGAAGAGCATGGCCCCTAGTTGGTTCCTCCAGCACTTGTACCAGGAAGTTGGTGCAAAGCTGGGGAATATTGGGGGTCAGAGCAGTGAGGGAAATGTGGAGGTTGGGAAAAAGGCCTGGAGATTGCGAGGACAGGGAGGCCTGGGGAATGTGGGGGCAGGGAGTATGTGGGGGAGTGGAGCCTGGGAATGCGGGGGCGGGGAGCATGGGGGGCAGTGGGGCCTGTGCAGTGCAGGGTCAGGGAGTGTGTGCGGGAAGTGGAGGCATGGGGATGGTGGGGAGGGGGTGGCCTGGGAATTGCGGGGGCGGGGAGTGTGGGGGGGGAGGTGAAGGCCTGGGGACGGCAGGGAGGGGGAGGCCTGGGAATTGCAGGGTGGGGAGTGTGTGGAGAGAGGGGGGCCTGGGTAGGGTTGCCAACCCTCCAGGATTGGCCTGGAGTCTCCCGGAATTGGCATTGATCTCCTGGTGACTATTGAAAGCAATCCGGGAGATTCTAAGAAATGACATTATGTCATGTTGGGGGGAAATTTCTCCTGGAATAGCTTCAGTCAGAGTTGGCAATCCTAGGCCTGGGAATTGCAGGGTGGGGGAGCATGTGGGGGAGTGGGGCTTGGGGATGGCAGGAAGGGAGAGGCCTGGGAATTGCAGGGGTGGGGCGTGTGTGGGGGAGGTGGAGGCCTGGGGATGGCGGGAAGGGGGAGGTCTGGGGAATGTGGGGGCAGGGAGTGTGTGGGGGAGTGGGGCCAGGGGAGTGTGGAGGCAGGGAGTGTGCAGGGATGGGGGATGCCTGGGGAATATGGGGGCAGGGAGCATGTGAGGGAATGGGGCCTGGGGAGTGTGGGGGTAGGGAATGTGTGAAGGTGGGGGGGGGGGCTGGGGAATACATGGGTGGGGAGCGTGCAGGGGCCTGGGGAGTGTGGGAGCAGGGAGTGTGGGGGGGGGGGGGGGGGGGCCTGGGGATAGCGGGAGGGGGGCCGGGGGAGTGGGGGGTAGGGAGTGTGTGAGGGTGGGAGAGGCCTGGGGAATATAGGGGTGGGGAACGTGTGGGGGAGTGGGGCCTGGGGACTGTGGCGTGAGGAGCCCTGGGGAGCTGACAAGCTGCTCCCTCTGGCTGGCTCCCGCACAGCAGAGCAATAATGTCTCTTTCTCTCTCTAGCAGGCCCTGGCCTGTGGTGACATTGCTCAGCATGCGGCGGTAGCCGAAGGGATCCCTCATCCAGATCCCTGGGCTGGGCCAGCTGTGCGGGGCAGCCTTTCCCTGCAATCCCTATGAAGCTGAGGACACCTGGAGTCCTGTCACACCAGCTCCCCCAGGGCAAAGGCACCACTGCTCCCTCCATCTCTCCTGCTGGTGCCTGTCTCTGATGCTGGGCCATGTCGCTAGCTGCCCACCTCACTGATCTGGGGCTTGAATTTGCCAGCAGCAGCTTGGAGGAGATACACCAGGTAGGGTCCAGGGGTGGATGCATGCCCTCCACTCCCATTCCTATGCTGTCTGCAGTGGGGACTAGCCTCACTGGTGTGTCTGTCTGGGGGCAGGAGGATGCTATGAAATGTGCAAGGGGGAGCCAGTCCTAAATCCCTGCCAGGGGAGGTCGTTTGATCAAATCCTAACCCCGCTGGTGCTGTTAGCAAGGGAAATGAGGGCCAGGGTTCCCCCTTGAGAGTCCAGTGGGAATCAGCCAGCTGAGTTTGACTCTGAGCTTGGTGCTTGGGTGCTCTGGGGCTGAATCCTATGGCGGGATCTTGCCTTAGTGCCGGGGGGTAGTGTTTGGCAGGGAATGGGTATTTGTACAATAACTTGTCCCCGCTGGAGTTCTAAGCATCCCAGAACCCTTTCTCTTGGCTCGGGGGCGCATTTATTTTTCTCCCAATGGGCCTTGTGGGCAGGAGTGAGAAAATCTAAGACAGAAGAATGGCTCCAACCAAATACATGGAGGCTTTAGGAAAGAATTAAAGAAGAGTTCAGCGTGAACAAGCTAGCAGTAAAAGAGCTATTCTGCAGCAAAACTATACAACAAGACAAAGATGAGGAAGTTGATAGATCATCCAGAAGAGACAAGAGAGTGGATGGCTACCAAAGTAAGAGAAGATGAGGAATTGTACAAGAGAGGGGATTCCTAATATCTGAACAACTGTTCTCAAACTGTTGTAGCTTTGTGAAGCCCGAGATGAGAGGATTTTAACCACAGAGGAAGGACCGAGCGTTTCAAGTCCAGGCTGTGCTCAGTCAGCCAGAACCACTAATACACATTGCGAATTGTGAAGAAACAGTGGACTTACCCATCTCATTAGGAGTAATTGCTTTTGAGAAAACAAGTAAGGCCATAAGTCAACTGAAGAGGGGTAAAACCCCAAGCTGTGGTAAGATACATGGTGAAATGTTAAGTGCTGGAAAGGAAGTCATGGTGAATTACATGTGCAGGCTGTATAGCATGGGTTGGGAAAAGGAGACCTGTCCTAAAGATAGGAGAAGAGGTGTCACCTGTAAAAATCCCTTAAAAGGGGACCCAGCCTTTTTCTGATAAGTGGAGCAGGGTGACATTTCTCCCTGTACCTGGAAAAGTGTTTTGCATGATAATTTTGAATAGGATGAAAACTGCTGTTGACAAAGTACGCAGGAATGAACAGGCTGGATTTTGATCTGAAAGGTTGTGTTCGGATCTGGTTTTCACCTCCAGGGGAGCTTAAAATACCAGCAGAAGAAGGTTTTTACTTCATTGATTTCACAAAATCATTTGACAGTGTCCACAGAAAAGTCCTCTGGAAGATCCCAAGACACTATGGAATTCCAGCAAAAATTGCAAATTGATAAAAGCTTTGTATGACGAGTCTGCGTGGTGGAGACACGGAACGGTTTAAAATTGTTATTGATGTAAGGCAAGGCTGTGTACTGTCTCCACTTCTCTTCTGCATTGTCTTAGACTTTGTAATGAGATGAGTGATGGAGAGACAGGAGATAAACTGTGGATCCTAGAGTTTGCAGATGACATAGTCATATGGATACTAATGTGGATGGAACACAACTTTATGAGCATAAATGTAAAAGCTGCCAATCAGTATTTGTATCAGTATTCAGGAGACCAAGATTATGGGGATAGCAGAGAATGCTGATGATATTGACACATGTATGACTGATGGAGAAGGGTATGAAAGAGTTGATGACTTTGGTTAACTTGTAAGTACAATATCTGCTAATGGCCAGGCCATTAAAGGAGTGAAGGCAAGAACTGACAAAGCCAGAGAATCATTTTCTCATGTTTTAAACATCTGGAAGAGTAGGAAGATACATTTACACAGTGATGGCAATGCTATTAGAGAGACAAGGTGTGGGAGTTCATATCCTTTATTGGACCAACTTCTGTTGGTGAGAGAGCCAAGCTTGTCTCTCTAATATACTGGGACCAACACAGCTAGGCAGGTGTAAGCCACCTGGGCTGGGCAGGCAATCGGGTGTCGCCTGTTACAGCAGAGACCCAGCTATGGTATATGGGGAGGGGAGGTGGGGGAAGCAGGCCAAGCACTCCTGGGGGCTGACAGCTGCTGCAGGGCTGGAGCCAAGGGGCTGGGAGCTGCAGACACACTCAGACTGAGCCAGGCGTAGCAGGAGGGAGGACTGCACTCTCCACCAGTGGTTGGCTGCAACTCTGCAGCCCCTGTTCCAGGATGCTTCTTTAGGAGACACAGTGCTGCCCTCCAGTGGCATGTACCCACATCTCCCTTGCTCTGGCCAGTTTCTGCTCTCAGCTGTGGTGTGGCCAGCCAGCCTGTGAGGCCCTTACTCTGCATTCAGAGCAGTGCTACTGGGTGCCCTGTTCCTGCATCTCTGGAAAGGGTCAGGACTGCTCTCGCAGTGACCCAACAGGAGCGTGTCATGCAGCAGCCAATCCAAGCGCTGGCAGTCTGGAATTTGTCCCCAGTTAGGCATTGCTAGGAGTGTGTGGGGTGCCTTACTGTGGGGTAGGGCTGCCATGATAGCTACACAGCCCAGCCATGCACGCAGAGGTGAGGGTGGGGGTTCTGTGCAGCCAGGCAGCAGAGCTGCTGAGGGGTGGGAGCTGTGCAGCGGCTTGGGGTTCCTTGTCCCTCCTTCCAACCCAGAGAATGAATGTCTGTTGCATGGAGTGCGATGCGTTTCAGGGAGGGCCGCCTGCCCCTGGAGAGGCGTGTTTGGAATGTATGGGTGTCACACTCTGTACCTCAAAGCAAAACCCTGGAACCCCCATATTAACCACTGTCATGTAACTGTGATATGTTTTGTACAAAGCATGCCATGTAAGATATCCTAGGAAAGGTCATGATCTGCTGAAACCCGTTGTTCTGTCCAAACATCTCTCGTTAGTGTGTATGAAGCTATGAGATTTTGCTGTACGGTTGTTACTGAAATGTGTTGTAAGTTTGCTAGTGACATACACAGGACCCCCTCCCAGGAGGGTGCTCAACTACCATTAATCAGCAAGGGAGTGTAATCAAGGGATTTACAATTCAATGAGAGCTGCCCAAGCACCACACAATGGGGACTGCTCAACTCTATGACTCAGTTGCACAAGACCACACCCTGGGGATTGCCCAGCCCAGTGACTCAGCAAAGCCCACCAGGACATGTCTGCGCAAGTCTTCTAGGCACATGGACTGAGGATAAAATTAGGGAACAGCGGCGGCATGCCTTGGTCTTTCTCCTCCCCCACCTATGCTGGAAGCAACAGGAACGCTGAGAAGACAAAAAACTTTAACTGAGGAGACTGGTCCAGGCCTAAGGGAGGCCTGTGTATTAAGAACTGTAACATCCAGTGGGATGAGAAAATTGCTTGATCCAAATACTGCCTAGTGTAATAAGGTTTAAGATTTAGATTGTGTGCTTATCTTTTATTTTCATTGGTAACTATCTCTGACCTCTTATGCTTACCACTTATAATCACTTAAAATCTATCTTTCCGTAGTTAATAAATCTGGTTTATTAAAAATAAAAGTTATATTTTGCCTAAAACAGTTTGGTTTGGTTGAAGTGCTTGGGAAATCTCAGCTCAGGTTACAAAGGCTGAGGGAGAGGCAGACCGGGTAATAAATTTGCACTGATCAGGCTTTTGACCAGGGCAAGATGGTACAGCTCTGGGGTGCAAGGCTGGGGTGCTGGGGGGAATTTGCTGGTGCCTTTCTCTGTGTGATTCGTGAGTGGCTCAGGGAGCATTCGTGCAATCCAGCTGGGTGTGGGGCTCCCTCTGCTGTTGTGCTGAATGATAACAGCACCTGGAGGGGTTTGCTGCTTGTCACTAGCAAAGCATTGGGAGAGACAGCCCAGGCTGGAGAGTTAAGGGGGCACAGCGGTCCCACAGTTCCAGGTTGCACCTGAGGCATCCCATCACACTGGTTGGCCCTGAGATCTTGGGGGGGGGGGAGGTGCTAAGCATGCTGGGGGATGGTCTCAAGCTGCACTTTCTATGATGTATGTCTGTCCCCCTGCAGCTCGATGACCCACTAGCCTTTCCTGCCTCACTGGAGGAGCAGTTTCCCTGCACAGACCTGCTGTGTGTGTATTCGGGGCTGGAATTGGATGAGGTGCCCAGTGGCATCATGGTAGATGGGCTGCTGGACAAGCACGAGCCGCAGGTTGTCGGGGACAGTGTCACAGTGCCAGGTGGGTCACACGGGAGTAAGGGGGAGGAGGGTGTTTCATCCATTGCAGATCCCCTAAAACTCCAAAAGCTAGGCCTTTGCTGAGACCCAGCAGAGCTGAGCTCAGGGCTCTCCCCTGGTGTGCAGAGCCAGTCTAGCTCCAGCCCTGCATATGATGCTGCAGCTAGCAAGCTGCATGTTTATGCACCACCATCTCCACTGGCAGGGGGAGTGACATGGCTCCTGCCTCGATGGGGTCAAGGAAACCTTGTGTAGCACTGCCTGCCAGAGTCTGCATGGAGCCTGCACCGAGAGGGGGAACGGCTCCATCATCCCAACGGAAACAATAGGTGCTGCTGGGGACTGGGCTCTTTGGAAAGCCTGGCAGCAGATGGGTGCCCCAGGGTGGTCCCGTTCCCCCCTGAAGTGGGGGGGGGGAAGCTGACACAGGCTGTTTCTCTGCAGGTGACGCTGAGCAGCCGTTACCCCCCATTGCAGCTGGCGAGGGCCTGCTCTGGGTGGAGTCACCCAACAACATCTTGGATGAGACGCGCCTGCGTGAGTCGCCTTTGCTGGGCAGTGGCCCTCCCCTCTTAGGTTGTGGTGGGGACAGAGCTGGGGGCCCTCCCCTCTCACAAGGCAGTACAAGGGCCCCTGCCCTCTCACAGGGTGGTGGCTGGGGCCTTCCCCTCTCACAGGGGGTCTCTCGAGCATCAGGGCGAGGTGGCTCTCCCCTCCCGTGGGCGGGGGAGAAGGGTTGGAGGGTGCTCACACCTAGATAGGGTCTATGTGTAGGTTAGAGGCCTTCTTTCAGGGTGGCTGCATCTTGGCAGGCAGGGGAGTTGCTGGCATGGCCCAGCCTGAGTGAGGGTCCTGGGGGCGTGATGCTGATCTGGTGCCCCATGTTCAGCCAGGCTTCCCTCCCATTGTATCCCTTGTAGTTGGCGGCACTAGGGTTTCCCTGGACAGAGGGGCCTGTCCCCTGGGCCCAGGGGAAGCCAGCGGCCTGCACAGGTCTGGAGACGAGGAGAATCCCATGGCTGGGTCCACCAGGGAGCAGACAGGGAAGCAGCCCAGGAGGAAAGGTAACCACGTCCCCTAAATCCTGCGCGTGCTGTGCCCTCCTCTCCTTGCAGGGCTCCTTGGGCCAGTGACATGTCCTGTTCTGTTGGCGGGGAGCGCCTGGCGCAGAGCCAGCCTCCTCGTTGACATGCACCTGCCGCATCCCCGCGAGTCTCAGCTACCAGCCTTAACCCTGACCCAGGGCCCTGCCCAGCAAGCCCCGGGTGTCCCATCTCCATCGCCACTCCCTGCACTGCAGCTCCCCGCACACTGGCCAAACCAGCTGTCCTCCTGCCTCTCCGCCACTATGGGTCAGAGACACCATTATCTTGTATCTTCCCCAACCCTGCCCCATGGCCAGTGCTGGCCCTGCCCCCAGCCCACCACCCCTGCCCAGTACTGTGCACCAGGGTGTGGAGGCAATATCACTCCCACTAGCTGCTCTGGTCTGAGCCCAGCAGCATGGCCAGCCCTCTGTGCGGAGGCTGTCTCCATCACTGGCTGTGTGACTGTTGAGACCCAACCCTACAGTGCTGGCCCGTCACCCCCTCCCTCCCCTGGCACTGACACACTGGAGGTGGGTGTAGTGCTGTGCAGAACTGTGCTGGGAAGACAGCAACCCTGCTGTGGTGATCGCATGCTGTCCTGATCTTGAACAGCGGCAGTCTTACCACAGCGGATGGCCGCTACATTTCAATGGGGAGGGCAGTGATTCTGGGCCGTGCACACAGCACAGTCCCAGCGTGTGTCCATGGAGAGACAGACAAACGTATCCACAGCCTGACAGTCACTGACAGAGGGAAGCTGCTCTCTGAAGTGAATCCAGGGGAGGTGCAGTGCCCAGGCCCCACCCAGAGGATGCTGCAGGGGCAGGAGGTCCAGCGCCTGCTGTGAGAATACTGATGGCCTGGGGAGACCCATGGAGAGGCAGGTTGGGTGGTAAGAGGGTTGGGGCAGTGCTCTTCCTTTCCCCTGTCTTCCTCTTGCAGGTCGCAAGCCGAAGCCCCCCCGCTGCCTTTCCCCCATCACCACCGCCCCTGGCTTTCCAATCTGCAGGAAGAGCAAGGATGGCAAAGGTAGTGAGCAGCACGGCGGGCCATGGAGGGGGGGTAGGCTAGGAGATGCCTGGTCGGGCAGGGCCACAGCAAACAGCTCCTGTAGCTTGGCAGGGAGCAGACATGCTTGGCTCAGCGCCCAATGGGGCAAATCATCAGCCAGAGGCTGCTGAGCGAACGGGAGATGCTTCCCGCCTGGCTAGGCTCCCTGGCCAGTCTGCCTCGGGGAGGGGGGAGCCTGGCCCATACGGCCTGGCCCACCACTAGCCCGGCAGCTGCAGCAGAGCGCCCTTCCTCACCACCTAGGGATTCCTGTGGGGCAGCTCTCTGGCCTGTGGGGTGCAGGGGACAGACTAGTTGATCACACTGGGCCCTTCTCACCTTGGACTCTCTGAATGTAGCCCAGGCAGCTCCCCAGCCCCGGCAGAGCCTTTCCCTTGACAGCAGGACAAACTGCACACAGCAGGGATGACAGCCTGGGAAAGCTCTAGCCTCCAGCCCATGAGGGGAGGCCTAGTGGGACGGGAGCAGCCCAGTGTTGCTGTGGATAATGGTGACTCGCTCTCTGTCAGGGGCTGCTGGGCGAACTTGCTGGCTCTGCTAACGTCCCTAGACCAGTCCAGGCTCCCTGGGCCAGGAGGCTGCTCTGCCCTCTGCCCATGTCTGCCCAGGTGATGACATTCTGTGCAGCTATATCCAGGCCTCTCCGCTCCTCTTTGGTGCTTGAACACCAACAGTGCTGATACTGAGAGGATTTCCCAGCAGTCCCCCCTGCGCTCGCCTGCAGCTCTGAGCTGCTTAGCTGGTCTTGGCAGACACGTCCCTCCTGTCTGTGCCTTACACACAGTGACGTTTTCCTTGCAGCCAGGAGGGCTAGAGCCCATTGTGAAGGAGAGCTGAGACTCTGGAGCACGTCAGCTGGGAGTGGCCTGCACCCCCAGCGCACTGATTAACAGCTCTCCACTCTGCCTGGGCTGTGGACTTAAGGCCTATGTTCGTTACTGCTGCAGAGGAAGGGCACTCTGGCTAGCGATGGGGTGGTGCATGGGGCACTGGGCTGGCTCATGGGACTCAGTAAGGCCCTGACTCCTTGCCCTTAGAACAACAGGGGCTGCGCTGGGCTCCTCAGCACAGGGGGCAGTTCAGAGGAGAGGAGGGTCTGGGATGCCCCTTCCCAGGGCTGTGCACTGTCAGCCCCTCACGCCCGCCATGCCCCCCCCCCCAGGTAATGCCCTCTACCTGTGGGAGTTCCTGCTGGCGCTGCTCCAGGACAGGAACACCTGCCCAAAGTACATCAAATGGACCCAGCGAGACAGGGGCATCTTCAAGCTGGTGGACTCCAAGGCAGTGTCCAGGCTGTGGGGAAAGCAAAAGAACAAACCCAGCATGAACTACGAAACCATGGGCCGAGCACTGCGGTAGGGCCCTCCAGCTGGGGGTTGGTTGCAGGGCTGGTGGCAAGAGGGGAGCGGTGGGGGGGATACAGCGTGGGGGGAAGCCGTGTGGGAGAGTGCAGCACTGATGGGGTAAGGGGGGCTGTGCAGGGGCCAGGGTGGGGATGCAGGGGAGCGGTGAGGGGCGGGTATTGGCACTAGAGGAGGCGGGGGGGGGGGCGTTGTGGCACTGGGGGATGGGGAAATCTCGGTCTCATGCTGCGATGGTGTCTCCCCCAGGTACTATTACCAGCGTGGCATTCTGGCCAAGGTGGAAGGGCAGCGGCTGGTATATCAGTTCAAGGAGATGCCCAAGGACCTGGTGGTGATTGAGGATGAGGGGGAAGCAGTGGGCAATGTGAACCCCAGAGCCAGCCGCTCAGCCACCAGGCCCTCTTCCCAGAGCTCCCCCCTCCAGAGGGCCATGTCCCCCACTCGCAGCAAGAGGGAGTCTGCACCAGCGACCCAGCCTCGGGAGTCCGCAGCTGCACCATGTCCTGCTCCCAAAGTGCAGCAAGGGGCCAGCAAGCCACCCTCCCAGGCCGTGGGGTAAGTGCCTGGAGGAAGGGCCGGTTCTGCAACATGCAGGGCTGAGGAATGCCAGCCGTGTCCCAGCCCGTCTCCCCCCCAACACAGCCCCTTGTGGATGCAGTGCCAGCCACAGGCGTTGGGGGCTGCATGGACCCTCTGGCCATGCAGTGCCTTGCCCACCATTGGCATTGATGCTGCCTTGAGTGGAGCAGACCAGCCTTCAGGCCAGGGCTGGGCCTGGCCCTGGAGTGGGTGTTTGCCCCAGGGCAGCCCCTCACAGTGGCAGCTTGTGTTCAGCAGGGCGAAGGTGCCATGGCCACTGCAGGCAGGACCCTCCAGCTTTCCTGAGAGCAGCATTGGGCAAGGGGAGTTGGGATCCACCCAGGGCACAGGGCCATGGTTGCCATCATGCACCCAGACAGCAGTACCCTCCGTGGCCAGGCTGCCAGCTCTCTGGAGAAGTTGGCTGGACCCAGAGCAAGGGTGCAGAGCAGGCAGGTTGTGGAAGGAGGGCTGGTGATTAGTCCAGATGATGGGGCTGGAGGAGACCAATGCTGCTGAGGGGTTGAGCGGCTCAGGAACAGGGTCACAGGGAGCCCAGTTGGTGGGACAGTGCAGGGGCAGAGCGGCATGGAAGCCAAAGGGGGGGCTCTAGCGAGGCGTGGCAGGAGAGCTGCGCTGCAGGGCAGGATGGGGAGGTTGTTGGAGGCCCGATGGGGGGACACAGTGAGAGGCAGTTTGGGGGGACCTGAGGCTGAGTGAGCCAGGGCAGAGCAGGGCAGGGGGGATATAGTGCATGGGTGACAATCAGAATGCCAACACTTCAGTGCCAGTAGAGGCAGGCACCACAGGGTCTTGGGCACATAGGCTCCAGCTTAGGATCACAAGCACTGGGGCTGGTGCCCCAGCTGTGAGCGGAGGGGCGACATGGGGTGCAGTGGAGGCCTGGCTGGGGAGGAGGGGGGCAGGTTTCCCATCCCCCACCTACAGTGGTTGGCGGGGCCCAGTCTGCACATTCACTCCAGCATGTGACCATTTTCCATTCTCCTTCCCCAGCTCCCTGCTCCTACCCGGTCGCTTGGGGCTGGGATCCCTGACTCTCCAGCCCATCCCACTCACCACAGTGCTGGCCCTGGGAAACGCTGCCAGTTCTCCTTTTCCAAGCAGCACCCCTGCTCCGGACAGGCTCCCGCTCCAGCCTGGGTTCCCCATGAATGGGTTCCCCAAGCCACTGCCAGGCCCGGGCAGCAGTATCTCAGCAGCAGGCCCCCTCCTGCCTGCTGCCCCGCAGCACTCTTTGACTAGCCTGCTCCAGCCAATGGCTCTGACTGGCCAGCCAGGCACTGTTGTTGCCACCAGCATTGGGACAGTGGAGGCCAGCGGCAGCTGCCTGGCTATGCTGGATCGCCCGCTCCCGAGCCTGCTTTCAAGTGATCCTGCCACGCTCGCTGGCGTGCTGACAACACAGGCGTCACAGCAGGAGAGCCTGCCTGGCCGCGCAAAGGTCCAGGAACTCCAGCCACCAGCTCGAAGCAGCTCCCAGGATAGCAAAGCAACAGCAGCCCTGCCAGCAGGAGGCACTGACAGCTGCACCCAACTCAGCCGCCCAAAGGTGGGCTTGACACCCGTGGTGGAACTGGAATTAGCCATCAGCTCGGAGGCAACGTTCCCTGGTGAGCAGATGGCTCAGCTCTTGGCAAAGCCCAGCTCTGCCCCAGCCCCTGCAGCGCTGCTGTCTCTAGGCAGTGGTGACATCAAGGAGGAATGCTGGGACGTGGTGTGAAGTGTGCGGATGCACCCTGGGCTCCAATAGAGGCAAAGGATGCTGGGAAAGCTCAGTTCCCTGGACTGACAGGATCCAACTTAGGGCTGGGGGCTGCTGGGGCCAGGGGAGCCTTGGAGGCCGCATGGCATTTGCTTCTTGCCCTCACCCATTAAAGAGACATTTTGCACCAGACTGGCGGTGGGCTGTGGCAAGGCATCTTACCCAGGAGTTGCCATCTATGGAGATGCCAGGCCCCAATATGCAGTGTTCTGGCTTGAGCCAAGGGGCCGAGCTAGTGGCTGGGCCTGGCCCCGAGTACAGCTGCTGGAATGGGAGCTGCTCCCCATTATCCAGGAGGGAGGGAATTCAGCGGGGCCCCTGCACTAGTGCTACTGAAGGGAGCCAGAGGTGCTGCTTGCACTGCTCTAATTGCAGAGCTTCTGCAACCTGTTCTGGCCCTAGCACAGGCTACGGCCGGCCTGGCTCCTACCCTAACTCGTGGCCTGGGTGCCGTGGCCTATGGGCCTTGCCGGGGTGGGGGCTGGTGAAATGGGATGCCCCAGGCCACCTCTTATGCCCCAACACCCCCGGCACACTGAGCTGGGGGACCTCGCCTGCAATGCCGGCTTTATGGCCCCTTTGTGGCAGCGGTCACAGAGCAGTGCTGAATAGCAGCAGCCCCTGAGGAGCCTGGTGGCATCCACTGGGACCCATGACCAGGCAGCTCGAATAGAGCAGCCGCATGTGTAACCTGGGCCATGGGAGTGGCTGAAACTGCACCAAGGGGGCGCTGGTTGGATGTCTGCTTGGAGCGAGAGCAGCAGGCTGGGGCCTGGCCTCTGTGCCAATCAGGAGCCCATGCCTGGACACCTACTGCCCCTGCCCCCCAGAAGGCATTGCAAGGGGCCCAGAGAGCCAGGAAAGAGCAGGTTCAGGCTCCCACTCACACTAGCTTCATGGTGTTTCACATTCACATGCCCTATTCCCCTGCCCTGAGACAAGCCCCCCCAACTGCTAGTGCCCTTCCCCAGCCCTGAGCATCCCCACCACACTCCCAACCAAGGGGCATTTAACCCTTCCATTACCCATAGCAAGTGGGCTGCGGGTCCTATCGATCATGCGGCAGGGGTGGGCCTGCTTGCCCAGCACTGTTCAGCCCTGGTGCCATGCAACATGGCAAACTGGCTTTGGAAGATCCTCTCCCCCACCCACACCCCAAACTGTACATCCACTGGCCCCACACACACACACACACCACAGAGTGACACCTGCCCCCTCTGTGGGAGTGGCTGTGCTGGTGTACTCTGCTCCCAGCAGCTCGGTCCATTGCAGTAAGTCCTGGGAAGGGCCCTGGCACCCAGCCTGCTCTCTGTCTAGATCTCTGGGTGGTGCTTGCAATGGGGTGCCAAGGCCCCACCTGCCAGCTTCCCCATGGCCTCTTGAGAGGATGGCATGGTCAGTATGCACACATCCCTTCCCTCTTCTGTTCATAAGGACTGCCCCCCCCAACACCCCTCCCCCCCAGCTGCCCCTGCCCCATTGGAACTCTCAGGGTTGTTTTCCAAGCTTGCTGGAGGTGGGGCTGTAGCACAGCCCTATGGACCTTTCCTTCAAGGTGCAGCTAGGAGACTATGTGCAATGCTCCGGCACCGACTCTCTGCTTACAGCATCCCAAGGAGCTGCTAGGAGTGGTACAGCACCTGGCCTGACTCATGCCCTGGCTCCCCCCAATATCATCATCTATACCTGGGAAAAGGGTATGTGTGTGAAACTCCCAGCATGCTCCACCTACTGGGCCCTCCCACATGAATACACAGGCTGGGACAGGAGAAAAGGCCTATCTTGCCCGTATCATTCCATTGCCCCTGCTCCCCACCACAGCCTGGGCTCAGTTCTTTCCCCTGCCACCACTATTCATTAGGCCCTGGAGAGTAGACATGCCTGGGCCAAGGTCCCGGGGCTGGAGCTCTATTCCTGGGCCTTCAAACCCCTGTTGGAAGTTCCTTCTTATGCTACTCCCTACTGCTGCCCTGGTCTGGGAGCAGGTGCCCAGCAGCTTCTGTACACATGTGCTGAGGTGATTACACACATTGAGAGGCCAGGCCTAGGCTCCAAGGCCAGTACTACTCTGGCCTTAGGAGTAACAGCTCCTCCATGGAGCTAGGCTGAAGCATAGCTGAAGATTTAAAAACGCTGAGTGAGCGAGAGCCCAGCCTTGCCTTTTTGTGTCATCTCTGTGCACGGTTGCTGCAACGAGTAGCAGCAGCTATAAGCATAGAAGGTGCCCCTCTGCTTGCACGGAAAGGAGCAGAAGGCTAGGGCACACTGGAGCAGGCTGCACTAAAGCAGTTTGGGCTACAGGGGCAGAGTGGTAGAAGTGGCACCCTACTGGCACTTGCCCCACCTGATCCCCTGCCTGGTAGATATAAGGCTCTAGGCAAGTACACTGGAGGAGGATGCTACCCTCAGGCAAGCAAGGGTGCAGGGCTGGGCTCTTACTCAGCTGTAACAAGGGGCTGTAGCAGTGGATCTCACAGTACAGACAGCAGGGAACAGCAGCTCACTGAGCACTGCACAGAGCCCAGGGTCATTTCTCTCTCCCCACCCTGCAAGCACAGGAGTTCTCATCCCAAGAACAGTGCTTCCCCCGCCGCCACCAGTAACGGGATACGACACACACAGCGATAGAAGAGCCAGGAGGCAGAGGACCTGATGCAGGTTTTTCTGTACATAAGTGTTTTTTGACACCACAGCCGGTTGTTTATAATAAAACAGAAATCAGAAAGAGCAGCCAGAATACACACCCAAAGGCAATAACCCTCAGCTTAAAAAAGGAGCTGTCTGGTCCCAGGGAGGGGGAGGCAGACAGGTGGTGGTCGGGGGAGGCTACAACTGCCCCAGCTGGGACGAAACACAACACAAAGAAAAAACCACCCAACACTCCCACTGCAGGGCAGGACAGGGGAGAGCTAGGAAACAGATTGTCCAGTCCTCAGCATCCTTGTTAGCACCTGTACAATAAAACTGTACCATCTACACAGCAGTGCAGCCCTACTCTCTGCTCCTGCCAGGGGCAGGCACTTGCCCCCTCAGGCCAGCTCTCGGCAGTAGAACTGCTCCTCTGAACAGAAGAAAGGGGCACGGGCAGGGATGGAGGAAGGGGCCTGTCTGCATGCAGACACTGCGTCAAGGAGGATGGCCCTCTGGCAGCAGCAGGAGCCCATGAGGATGCGAGGCAGCTGGAGTCCCTGGCTGTAGCTTTGGAGTGGCTCTCAGGCTGCAGCTGCCTCTTCAAAGTGGCCCAGAAGAATCCAGAAACAAGCGATGTAAGTGAAATGCATGAGACAGCCAGGCAAGCACCTGGGGGAGACTGAACCCTGGGCTAGAGAACAGCTCTCAGCTGGACTTGCTTTTGGGAAGGGAACAGCCCCAGCAGAAGGCGGTGAGGGAGGGGACTGCCCACAGACCCTAGAATTTAACCTGGGGACTGTTGTGAGAGCTGGTCCCTTTGCTGCCAGGCCGCAGCGGTTCGGTCACTGGACAGCTAGCTGCTCATGGGAGAGCAGTGTCCTCCAGGCGCATCCTGGGAGAGGGGCCAGAAGAAGCCCTCTTCACCACAGCCGGGGGCTCAAATAATCACAGTGATACAGACTCAGCAGAAACAAAAGAAACATTACAAATTAAATACTAATTAAATAAATACTATGGAAGACATTGGGGGGAGGGCAGCTTGAGAGAGAGGCGCGGTTCTATGGGGCGGGGCAGAGCAGAAGCATCCACTGCCCCTCACTTCAGAGCCCATGGTCCTACAGCCAGGAGGGCCCAGCTAAGGTAGCCCAGTGGGGCAGGTCCGAGCTTCCCAGCTGATCTAGAAGGGGACCTGCAGAGAGCTGCATCTGCAGCTGCTCATCAGAAAGGGACCCTGGGAAGTCCTTGGAGACAAGTGGAGTCTCTCCCCAGTCGGAGTTCAGGGGCCGCGAGGAGAGAATAAAACAGCCAAAGACTCCAGGCCCCGCTGCTGGCATTGAAAAGGCTGCTTCCCATCAGTCCATATTATTGCCTCATGATGCAGTCCAATGCGGGGAGAGCTCCAGCCCCCGTCAGCTGCTCCAGGCCTGGAACTCCACTGCTGAGCCCAGGAGCTGCAGTAGCTCTGGCTCGTAACGCACCAGCTCCACTGTCTCTGCAGGGCCCTGGGGGAGCGGCTCGGGGCTCTCCGGCACCTCCTCCTGGGCCAGCAGCTGGCTCGAGGACACCTGACGCTGGAACTCCACCTTGGGCAGGGTAGCAATTTCAAAGTGTGGGAAGCGAGCCTGGAATATGCGGGAGGAAAGCTTCAGCCTCTTGAGAACGTCAGAGAAGAGAAACCAATTGCAGGGCCTGTGAGAGCAGTGAGAGGCACAGGTTAGTGAAGAGGGACCCATTCCACATCCCCCCACCAGAACCACAGGGAACAGCCCAACCACACAGATCCAGCACAAGGCGGGCTATTAGTTGGTGTCTGCTAATCACATGAAAATTGGCTCCTCTGCACTTATCTAGGATAGAAAGGGAAAAAAGCTGCATAACAAGGGACTTTAATTTAAGTAACATATGCTGGAGGTCTCATGCTGTCAGGACTAAAACGTTCTTGGAATTTCTAATATTATAGACAACAATTTCCTAACTCAAAAAACACTGCAGCTAACACTGGGGAATGCTATGACAGACCTTGACAGAGAGGAACTGATCACTGAACTAAAATTAATGGTAACTTAGGTACAAGCGATCAGGACTTGATCACATTTATAACATGTAGGCAGAATAAAGTCCAGATCAGTGCTATACATAGCTGGTGCTTCAAAAAGGGCCACGCTGACAAAGCTGAAAACAATTATGAGCCAAATCTGCTGATAGGAAGAATTTATTCAGAAAAATGTGATTGATCATTAGGAATTGTTTAAGAAAGCTTTATTAGACTCCTAAAAAAAATATATCAACAATTAAGGAAGAAGGCAGTATTGGTTTAAAAAAAACAA